AAATCGGGCCAAACGGTCCTGGCCCGTTTGGCCCCCGGGGCGGTCCCGGGCCTGGACCGGCCCACTTGCCACCCTTAATTTAGGTTGTGGGGCTCTATCCTTATGGCAGAACATTGAGAAGTTATTGAAGCATGTAGGGAGAATTTTCTCTTTTAAAAAGTAGACACCATTTTTGGACAGTCTAAAAGGACAATTAAGTTGGGACAGATGGAATATCAATTATAAGACTGTTCAATTATATCTTTTGAACTGTTCATTTGGCCTATTACTTTTTGAGATTCATCACTCCCATGACTACGTGAAATACATAGTAAACTAGTTGTCGTTGAGGGTTAACAGACCTCACGAGCTAAAGACATAGCCACATGAGCTAAATAATTTGCAACTATAGGAATTGTCCACTAAAATGATAAAAAACCTCTCTGAAACATTCTACTAAGGCCCAAAAGACCCAAAAATTTTACGAATATCATTTTGCTCTCATGTTCCTTTTAATGAATTAAGATATGGCGCTAAAATATAAATATTATGTTAAACCAAAAAAAACAGCTGAGTTGTAAAAATGAGGTTCATGTGCTAATTTGAAGATTCCTGGAATTTTCCGGCCTGTAGTGTATTTTTGCCCTATCTGAATAAGTAAGAGCGCAAGCATGTGAAAGTGACATGGTATTCTGCATCTCAATATGTGGGTTATCTCTATAATGCAATCTCAACATGAATTTGACTTCTTAAATGATGTTAACAGTAGATTGATTATCGGGTCACTAATATATTTTATGATCTGGTGAAAATTAAGTCAAATACTGGTGTTCACCAATCCACAATGCCTTGACATTCAAATTCTGTGCCAGGAAAATAATAGAGATGTTCCTGGGACTGCTATGGAAGTTGAAGATACTCATATGCAGATTAATAGCAAAGATTCAGATGCTTCTGCCACCGTTCCTACCCTGAATCCTGCAAAGGTTTTACTCCTGGATTTAGTTGTTTCTACTATTCCTTTCTGTGCTTTTTTGTGGGTGGAACGTAGGGAGTAATTGCAAGGTTCTAGTTCATATAAGCATACATAATGTTATGTGTCAAAAGGTTTATTAAGAGTATATAGTGGTGTTTATCAAAAACTTTGTGGTCATGTCTCATAGCCTTTTTCACAGTGGTAGTCATAATCCAGGTTTCATGATGACAAAGACTAAACCAATATCATTTTTTTTTATTGAACAAGTCAAGTTATTATCAATTACGATCACCAACATAGAATTAATTTGTAGTCAGATGCTTGTTCAGTTTGTTTTCCCATGCATAAAGCTATCTCCACTTGCTAGCTTTTGCACTTTTCTGCTCTAGAAGCATCTACAACATTCAGAACATGCCATGTATATTCAGGAACCTAAGTATGCACAATCATAACACTCGTCATGGGGAATTTGTTGAAAGTATTTGGCGGGGCTATTCAAGAGTAGTTCTACTATTTTGCAAACTAACGTTAAGATCATATTAAGGTTTCATCTCGATTGTTTTTTCTGAAAGGCCCTTGAGCATTTTATGTTTTAAGTAAGCGTTTCAAGAATACATATCCCTTACTGAAGTTTCACATATGCTATAACTTTGAATGTTAGTACCTCCAAGTGTCTGAATTTATTTATGACTATCTGAAAGTATTTTAATGGTCTGTATTTCATTTACATGCAATATCATACTATTATTCTCTCTTTTCTGTTATGCTAATATTCTTATCATGCACATACCGTTGGTGTCACTTATCACTTATTTTTTGCAGAGAACTCACAAAAATAGCAAGCAAGAACTCAAGGAATCTGTCCAAGAGCTTGCTGCTCGAGCAGCTA